CCCCAAAACCCCAAAACCCCAAAACCCCAAAACCCCAAAACCCCAAAAATTTAAGAATTATAGATTTATCGCAACTGCATATTTATAGCAATGTTTAACAGAGTAGCAGTGACACAGCTCAAAAGGAACTATAGAAACCTCCTAGCATCACAGAGTAAGGTCTTTTTGTCCGCTTCGAACTTAATAGCTAGTATAGATGGGATTGTAAGGACCCCAGCACGGTTCTGTAGTACTAAAAAGGAGGAAGAAATATCATATGAATCCCAGGCACCAATAGACGATACAAAAGACTATGAAGCTAACTCTCGCTTAGCCAGGCAGCTTTTCCTATTCATCCCGGTCACTATGTTTGTGATTTACAAGTCATTCTTCGTGAAGAACAACCCTTTCTCCAAAGAGAAGGAATATTGCTTTATATCTGATAATTTTGAGAAGAAATATATCGGCTCACACGCAGCCAAACTTATTGAAAAGAAGATTGGAAATCGGATTTATAAGCAAGAAACTGAGGAAACTCAGAGAGTCAAAACCCTAGTTGACACTGTGATCCAGAAGAACAATATTAGTAAATTTTTGAATTAATTTTAGAAAAATATCTGGAAGATTTGCAGGTGAAAGTTATACATATCCCTACCTTTGGAGTGGTAATGACCCTTGACCAAACCTTGTTTGTGTCAATAAAGACTTTGGAAACCTGTAACGATGATGAACTGGTGATGCTGATATGCCATGAGTTATCACATTACTTACTCTCGCATTCCCTTAAGAAATCTCTGAAGATCATTTATTATGAGTATTTCAAGTCTCTAGGCAAAGGGTTCTCACAACAGGTAGAATGGTACAAAAGAATGGTCTCTCAGTATAAATAACGGAGCTATTTACAACAAATTTGAAGAAAGAAGAGCAGATATTCTCTCGCATGAACTTGCACATAGAGCTGGGTTTGACATCCTCAAAGGCATTGAAGTGTATGGAGGTAATTTTTTATCAATTTTATAGAGTTTACACCCTCACTAGGGCATCCAGATTATTCTCATTATGAAATGTCTAAAAGATTACTGAAGAATTTTGCAGAAAATGCTAATGACCCCTCTGCAGCACCTGAGTAATGGCTAAAATTTAATAATTACAGCAGACAAAATTTACAATTTTGGGGTTTTGGGGTTTTGGGGTTTTGGGGTTTTGGGG